GTCACAGTGAGACCTTCACTTCTGAGGAGGCCTTTCCTGAAGAATTGGGGATGAAGGACAATTTTCTTTGCAGGTCACCCAGGAGGAAAGGCCTTTCTGTCAAAGGGGCTCCACAAAGCAACCTTCCAGTTCTCCTGTGCAAATGGTATCCTGCTGCCTGGGAAGCCACCAAATATGCTTCAGAGAAGCCTGCAGCAGGGGGTGCAGGAGAGCCAGTGCCTCTGGGTGTCAGGTGCCCTGAGGGCTCTCCCAGTCCAGGGCAGCCTGACACTTTCAGCCCCATCCTCAGCCTGTGGAGGCACCACGTTCATGTAGAGGGGGTGCTGTGGGAGATGCTCCAAGAGGGCTGTGCCTATCCTTATCCTGTGTCCTTCTGTGGCCCTGAAACAGGTAGAGAACCAGGTTGAGAATGAGTGGGAGGAGCTGGAGGCTCAGAGCTCTCAGCTGGCTCCAGTGTGAAAGTCCAGAAGCCAGGGCCTGAGCTTTCCCTGACCTTCCTGTCCCTCTGCTGGCCCAGGGGTGGCTTCTGTCCTTGGCACAGGGGGCTTATGGCATGGCATCCTTGGTCCTGCCTGGAGGCCAGCCCTGCCTTCCCTATCTGGTCATGGTGTCCCTAGAGGCAGCCCTAACTGCAGAGCAGGGCTGAGTCACATTGCCTGACCTCTGACCTCGGGACCATCTAACATTACAGAACATCTCAGCTGTCTCACCACATTACTGACTCCTGCCAACTTGTGGTCAGCTAATCCATGACAGTTCTTTGTTTCCTCACAAAGTTCCAAGTCTAGAAGTCTTCGAATTGGCCAGTCCACTTCTCAGGCTCCACGCTGTACCGTGAATGTGAACTTACCGTTCCAGTCTGTCAAGATTCTTTTGAATCCTCCCTCTGTCCTCAGGACCAGGCACCTTTCCCTTGGTTTTGTGCAGCTGACATTTTGATAAGATGATTTCTAGGTGCTGAGCAGAACTAGGCCCTGATCCAGAGCCCAAGGCACCACCAGAAGCTCCCCAGTGGAGTCTGGGTCCTGGCCTCTCTCAGCCAGGCTCCTCACTCTGCCTGAGTGGGGTCATCCTCAGGCTGAACCCCTTTCCCAGTCTCCACTACTGAGGAGCCTGCACTCCTGGGCCCTCCTGGGGACAAACATGAGGCTGCTTTTCCCCAGCACAGTGTAAGATCAGTCTCTCTGAGACTGTTGCTGCTGGGCTCCTGAGCAACCAGACTCACCCCAGAGATTGAGGGTCAGACAGAGCCCTGAGTCTGAGATGCTCCCAATGAGAGCCCCTCGGAGGAAAAACAGATGCAAGTCACCTCCAAAGAGGGGAGGAGCACAGCAATCTTCCCTTGCACTTGTGTGCCAGGAGAAGATTGGATTGGAGAAAATGTTGCTGCTATGGCTGCATAGGTGTGGCTACATCCCCAGCTCATGTGCTGGACATTTGGTCTTTTGTGGCAGCGTTGAATGCTGGAACCTTTAGGAGGTGGCTCAGGAAGGTGGTTAGTTATTGAGGACATTACCCTCAGAAGGGAGTCCTGTTGGTCTCCTGGGCTGAGTTAGTTCTTTTGAGAGCAAGTAGTTGTAAAACAACAAGACCGGCCCCTCCTGCTGTCCAGTCTCCCACCTCACCATGGTACCTCTGCACTTGCTCCTACCACTGTGGTGACGTCTGCCATGGGGCCACTGTGGAGCACAGCAGAAACCAGAGCCATGCTCCTGGAACTCTGGAACTGTGAAACAAACCTCTTTCCCTTACAAGTTACCTGGCCTCAGCTGATGGGTTATAGCAGTGAGAAATGAACTAAGCCGATGTTGAATAGGACCAGTGGTTCATCTACAGTGTCCATTATCTTTCTAAGTCAGACCCTCAGGGGGCTTCCCAGATGCTACTGAAGAGCATCGGGCTCCTCAACTTCAAAGTCCTGCAAACTAGATTTTTATGTCTATCTCCTCCCAGAGGGACCATGACTGCAGTGCCCTTTCCTGACCTTGGGGACAGAGGGCAGCCGAGGATATCTAGGTAATGCAGAGGAGGATACACTAGCGAGCCTGTAGCCCTGAGGAGATCTGGCCCATGCCAGAATACACTGTCCTCCCATTTGATGCAGAGAACAAGAAGTCTTAGGGATGTGGTGACCTTCTGCTCCCTGGGGACGCCCCTGGCCATGCTGAGAGTACAGAGCCTCCCCATGGGCCTGCAGGTCTTCTTGGTTGGTATCAGGCTGCTGCTTCTAGAAGCTCATCCTTCCAAAGGGAACCAGAGTGCCACCATCTCTGTCCCTCTGACTGGCCACATCTGCCATACCTGCCTGAGGTCCCGGCATACCTGCCACCTTGCAGCCCATGTCCAGTAGCCACACTGAAGCCACATCTGGCCTGCAGTCACTGTCACAGATACCCTCAAACACTTTGTTGACCTCACCCACTTCCTGTGGCCTCTCTTTGGCTCTTGCCCCCTCCTTTCTGCTTGCCAGGAACAGGCTACACACTAGAGAGCCTCCTCCCTTCCTGTCCACCCCACTTTGTTCTTCCCACACCAGGCTCACTCCTAGCATACCTCAGATTTAGTTTGGGGACTCTCCTACTGATTCCTCAGCCCTTTTTGATTTTTCATTTTGAGACAGCATCTTTTTAAGTCACTAAGTTGCCCAGGCTGGCTTCGAACTTACCATACTCCTGCTCACTCTCCCAGAGTGCTGGGATTACAGGTGTGTGCCACCATGCCCGGCTTGTACTGATTCTTCATTTACATCCCCTTCAGATTCTGGCCAGGAGAAAATGTCTTATCTTTAAAGTACAGACAGCCCTTGACTTATGCTGATTTGACTTAACAGTTTTATAGTTTATGTTGGTGTAAAATTGTGCCTATTGAAATATTCTGTTTTTCACTTTCTGTACTATATCAGTAAATGACCTGAGACATTCAATACTTCTCCATAAAATAGGCTTTGTATTAGATGATTTTGCCCAACTGGAGGCTGATGTAAGCGTTCAGTTACAGCAGCAGCTCCACTGCTGTGCCTTGAACCCCATCTACACATGTGGGGCTGGGGACAGAAGGAGGCCAGGACCAACCAACCCGCTGATGACAGATGGCTCTGTCAAGAACCTGTTTGGGAAGGCGACCTGGGGCATTGGCTCCTGGCCTGGCCACTGACCAGAAAGTGCCTTCTTCCATGCCTCAGTCTCTCCACCTGACAAATAGGCAAGTTCAGTAGTCACATCACCCTTGGCGGCCGCAGCCTGAGGAAGAGGCCTGGAATGTTTTTGTTTTTCCTTAGGGAAATCTTCCCTTCAAAGCGCAGTGTTTTATGATAGATATTTATGGAAACAATAGCAGTCATCACTGATTGGTTTAATTATGATCATTGGAGAGGAGGAGAGAGAGAATGGATAGTGAAGGAAGGACCTGCTTATTTCCCAGGTCCCCAAGGACTTTAGGCATCTCCTGGAGCTGGGACCAAGAAAATACAAAAGGCCTCTGTGGCAGTTACTAATGGCCTATAGGTGGATTCTATCAAGCTGGGCAAGGGCTATTTCCATCCTGCTGGTGACGGGGCTAAAGTTAGAAAGTGATCCTTGGGAGTCATTCTCTCTAACAGCTGGAACTGGAGGGGGAGGGAGACAGGAGGAGCTGGCCAGCCCCAGACAGACCAGCCCTTCCTCACCCCAACACAGACCTAGAGCTCAGGCTTTAGCGTGGGGACCACATGGGCACAGCCTGCAGTCACAGGCAGAGTGGGCAGGTGCTGGGCCTCCAGAGGTCTCTCCTGGTCCCTCGCCTGCTCTCACTGGACGAGGTGCCAGGGCACCCCCAACCCATTCCTCATTAAGCCCTGATCCTCATCTCTGAGTCACCCTTTGATGAGGTACCATTTCCCATCAGTACCCCATTATTAACTGGATCATGCTTTCCATGACTATGCATTCTTGCCCCCCAGCTCTGAGAAAGCACAGTAGGGAGAGCAAGTACTCTGGGACCGGCCCAGCCCCAACTCACACTTAGGCTCCCTCACCCCAGCAGAGACACCCCTCAATCCCTGCACCTCTCACCAGCCCCTCCCCCACCAGCCAACACTCAAGCTCCAAGCCTCGGTAGAGTTTGGGGATTCCCAAGAGCCACCATGCCAGTTCCTCCATCCCCACTCCCAGTGGCAGCAGGGGAGAGAGGTGCCAGGGAAAGTCAAATTTCTATTCTCTCTTTAAACACAAAAAACACAAACCTAATGCACAACTGTGAGAAGGCGAATTGAAAATCTCCCATTGTGTTGCTTGGAGATGATCCCCATCTGCTTGTACTGTTCTATAATCTGCTTGTTAACACATTGTGAGTACCCTTCATGACAAAAGAGACATTTTTACATCATTTTCTTCAATGGCTGCCAGGGGCATCTTCCATCCATGCAGCAATACCACCCCATGACCTGATTGGCTACAGGTGACATCCTGGGTACAGGGCATAGAGCCATTTAAGAAACAGGCCTGTGGAGACACATCTTTGGGCATACTCTTGGCCTCTCCCAGCTGGTGACTGGAAGGGGCAGGGCTGGGGCAGAGGACACACCTCCACTGGGACTCCCCGTCCCTGAGTCTGCACCTGTCAAGGTCACTCCAGCTTGGACTGGTAGTGGCCACCTGGCATGCACCATGGGGACACAGCAGGCCCCAGCAGAAGCAGGGAGAGGGAGCCTGGTTCCTGGGCCTATATGCCTGCTCGTAGGACCCTTCAGGCCAGAACTTCACTAGGTGGCCTCGATTTCTGGGGGGCTGGGGCTGGGTGTGGAACACACTATGAAATTAGGCCGCCTCTAGCACTCCGAAGGCACAAGGCGCTACCCGGACCCACCCGCAGGAGGCAGCCCTGACCCAGCGTCCGGGGGAGGGCATAGGGAGCCCCAGCTTTCCCACAGACTGTCAAGGGCGCCTGGCTCGGGCCCTGCCCCCACTCCAGGCCTCCGCCCCTGCCCTTCCTACGCTCGGGCAGGCGCCCAGGTAGCTCAGGAGCCCAAACCTGTCTGGCCAGTTTTGAGAGCAGCAGGCACGGAGACGAGAAGGCGGAGGATGCACGGCCGGCCTCGTGCTCCCCCGCTCCCTCCGCCGACCGCGCCTGTCCTACCTACCCGCCCGACCCCATGAGGTGCACCCCGGGCCTCCTGGTGCCCCTGGTGGGCCTGGGCCTGAGCCTGAGGCTGCCGGGGGCGGTGGCCAACGACTGCGGGTCCCTGGGGCAGGCACAACGCCTGGCGTTCGCCCCCGTGGCCAGGACGCGGTGGCTGGCTCCACTCGTGCGCCCGCCGGGACCCTTGGACCCGCTGTATGGCGCAGTGCGCCGCTTCCTCGCTGTGGTGCAGCTCAACCCCTTCCCCGCAGGTGAGTGTGCCCTCCCCAGCGGACCTGGGCTGGCGGCCGATCCCCATCCAGTCTGCAGGACTTGGAGGCCAGGCACCCCAGCATCCCCACCGCCGCCTCCTCCTTCCCAAAGTCCCTGGGCAGCAAGGGCTGAAAAGGCTCGGAACCTTCTGTGTGACCTTGACAGAGCCCTCCTTGGCCTGGCAGAGGGGCGGGGGGCCTCAGGCAGGGTGGTGGCTGTCCCCACACTTCAGCCTGCTCTTTCCTGCAGACTTGGTAAAAGCCCTGCTGAATGAGCCATCCTCCGTGAAGGTGGACGAGGTGAGAATGGAGTGGCGGGTGAGTTGGAGGGTCAGGAGGACTCCCAGACCACTCAGCTCTGCCCACCTTGCTGGGGTTTGCAGGGTGGGGGTCTTGGGCATCCTTTCTCCTCCTCTCCTGGGTTCAAACCACTGCTCTGCAGCCTGCTGCCAGTGGGACTCATAGGAGCCCAAGTCCCCCTGAACTACAGTCTCCTCTCCTGTAAGAAGGTGGTAATGAGCAAGGACACCATGCGCCTCTCGTGGACACAGGGCCCTCCGTGTTCGTCCCTGCCCCCTTCTGATTTTCTCCCAACTCGGCCAGCACAGGGTGGGCTGGGGGCCATGGCTGCCTCTCATGCCCTGCTCCCCCAGGTGGTGCGGTACGAGGCCGGCTATGTGGTGGGCGCTGTAATCGCAGGCCTCTACCTCCTGGTGGTGCCCACCACCGGCCTGGGCTTCTGCTGTTGTCGCTACCGCCGACGCTGCGGGGGCCGTGTGAAGACGGAGCACAAGGCCCTGGCCTGTGAGGGCGGCACCCTCATGGCCTTCCTGCTGCTGACGACCCTCATCCTGCTGTGAGGGGCTGCCCAGGCCGGGGGGGGGGGGCTGGGCACTGTTCAACCCCGGGTCCCCCAGGCACCCTGCAAGCCACTTACTCCTCGCCTCATTCCTCAAAGGATTGGTGTGGTCTGCGCTTTTGTCACCAACCAGCGCACACACGAGCAGACAGGCCCCAGTGTGGAAGCTGTGCCTGAGACCCTGCTCAGCCTCCGAGGCCTGGTCTCCGATGTCCCCCAGGTGAGCCATGAGCCCCCGCCTTGTCCCCACACACCTTGTATGTACCAGGCCCAGGCAGGCCAGAGCGGAGCCGGGCCTCTGTGGCCTGCAGCCTGCACACACGGCTGCCCCTGCTGGAAGGTTGCTGAACTGTGTATGGGGACCCATGGTGTCTTCAGGGCAGAAGGGACAAAGGACGGGGACAGAGGTGGATAGCTCACAGACCTATGTTCACCTAGGAGCTGCAGGCCGTGGCAGAGCAGTTCTCCCTGCCCCAGAAGCAAGTTTTGGAGGAGCTGGATGGTGAGGGTTACAGCTGGCCAATCCCAGGGTCCCTGCTCAGGCCTTCAGAGAGGTCCCCTGTTCCTTTGTCTTGGACTCTACTGGGGACACCTTCACAGAGGGGGGACAGGGCACAGCAGATGCTCTGCTACAGGGTAGAGAGGCCAGAGCCCACCCTACAGAGTCCGGGACTAGAGCTTAGGGAGCAGGACTCGGGGGGTGTGGTGTCCTCGGTTCCTGGGGCCAGCCCTGCAGCACGTCCTGTGCTCTCCAGGGATCGGTGAGCGCCTTGGGAACCTCGTGCACACCCAGCTCGGGAGCATAGTTTACCCGGTGCTGGCTTCTGTGGACAGCCTGGGCAAGGGTGAGTTGGACCAATGCCTGAGTGGGGTGGGGCCCAGCAGGTGTCTCCCCACAGGCCCACCCTCCCCCAACCCTGAATTTTGTGTGCTCTGCCAGCCTCAGCACCACCTAGCCTTCCCATCCCATTATGCCAGGATCCTGGGCCTCAGGCATCCCTTCCCAGCTGAGTGAGCTATGGGCAGTTTCCACTGTGACTCTAGACATTAATAACTGGGGGTTCCTATGGCATGGGGGATGCCCACCTGCTGGGAGGCTGCTGAGGATGCCAGGAGCTGTGGAGACTGCTCAGGGCAGGTGTGGGTCTCTCAGCCCTGCAGGTTGCCATGGACCATCTCCGAGTCCTGAACACCACCTTGGTGGAGCTGCGGGAGGGGCAGCAGCACCTGGAGCCAGCTGTGCAGAAGCATAGGGACCGCCTGCTTGCCCTGCTGCAGGATACTGGGTGCCAGGGGAACTGTGAGGGGACCCTGAACCAGGCCCGAGCCCTGGAGCTGGCCGCCGACTTTGTCCAGGTGCAGGCCCAGGACAGAGGCCACTTGGGGAGCAGATGGAACACTCTACCTGCAGCCAGTGGTCCCCTCCCTCAGGCTCTCCCTAGATGGTTAGTGACCAGCACCCTGCCAAAGAGTCAGGAGCTCTCCCAGCCCGGCACAGCACCTTGATCTGCACGTGTATTAGCTCCTGGGTCCTCACCACCTTCCAGGGTGTAGAGACTGCAGTGGTCCCCATTTTACACATGGGGATGTGTACTGAGGATTCAGAAGCATCTGCCCCTTTCCTCCCATAGGGACCCTCTCCGTAGACTTTGCCCCTACCCATTTCAGGTGCCCTCCATAGACCACGTCCTGTACCGGCTACAGGGAGTCCCAGAGGCCAATTTCTCCAGCATGGTCCAGGAGGTAAGTGCCATCGGCCCATCCAGCCCATCCTCTTGCCTCCTAGGAGCTCCTAGGAACAACAGAGGGGCCTCAGATTCCCCCTTTTGGAGTGGGAACCCAGTTGAACCTTCAATTTGAGACCATATCTGTCACTTGGCACCCCAGGCTGCAGGCTCCTGTCACCTGTCTCAGAGCAGCAGGAGTCTGATGAGGGAGGCAAGGAGGCTTCAGAAGGAAGCACTCAGGCCTGGAAGGGTGGGAGCTTTGGGAAGCCCGGAATGGTGCCCTGCAGAACCCCTGGGGCAGCAGCTCTGGGTTGCAGTGGGGGAGGGCATCCTGTGAGTCAGCGCCTGTGAACTGGTCCTGGAGTTGGGGCAATGGTGAGTCAGCTGAGCAGTGGCTGGAGCAGGGATTCCAGGAGGATGTGGGAGCTGAGATGGATGGGGCAGGAGCTGGACTTCCGTAAATGGCTGGCAGAGGCCTGTGGGGTGGGCAGGAGCTGGAGAGGATGTCTGGAAAAGGGCTGGGATAGAGACAGGCATCTGTGGGGAGCAGTGTTTTAAGGCGTCCTGTCAAGCCTGGCTGAGGAAAGGAAAGCCAAGACCAGGAAAAGAGACAAATCTAAGGCTCTACTGTTAAGTAAAATAAATCAGACATAGAAAGCTAAATACTGTGTAGTTTCTCTGATATGAGAAACCCAAAATATAAATAACTTAAAGAGCCAAATAAAAGAGAGATGATGAGAAACAGGGAGGCCAACTTTGTGGCGATGGGAAGGGGATCTGGAGAAGGAGGAGATGAGAGAACGGAGAGGGCAAGGGGCCAAGATGACTAAGTGTGTGTATAACAAATGTATTATTACCTGTCACGATCGTGTACTAATAGAACTGAGTATCACTGGGGGGCAATACCCTCCCTCTGGGCCTTGGGGACCCCACGCTGGGACACAGGCCCAGGGCAGGAGACAAAGCCACCCTTGGTCCTGTAGGAGAATAACACCTTCCACAGCCTCCCACTCCTGGTTGCCATGCAGACGGCCAGCGTGGTCAAAGGTGAGCATGGTCAAAAGCAAAGCCCGGGCTGGGTGGGGCCAGTGGCTGCCCTCTGTGCCACCCAGAGAAGGCTGTCTTCCTGGACTAGGCCCTTGGTGGGTGACTCTGGTCCCCTAAGCCCCTGTGGCTTGAGCAGATCTGAAGAAGGCAGTGGCGCAGCAGCCCGAAGGCATGAGGACCCTGGCCAGTGGCTTCCCGGGCTCTGAGGCAGCTTCCCAATGGAAACAGGCACTGGAGCAGCTGGAAGAGCACAGCCGCCCCTACCTGCGGGACATGCAGCGATACGAGACGTACAGGTGCCAGGAGGGAGCTGAGCGGTCAGGATGGGCCGGAGCCTCATTGCTTCCACCTCCTACTAAGCTAAAACCCTTGGCTCCTTGGGCCTTTGTTTAGAGGACCCCTCTATGCAGTGAGGCTGCAGGAAGCGCCCCACCTGCCCTCCTTCAGCCCTGCCCTCCCTGCAGGTGGATCATGGGCTGCGTGCTGTGCTCCACAGCCCTCCTCGTGGTGGTCTGCAACCTGCTGGGCCTCTGCCTGGGCATCTTGGGGCTGTCTGCCAGGGAAGACCCCAGCCATTGGGAGGCCAAAGGCGAGGCTGGAGCCCGCTTCCTCATGGTGTAAGAAAGTGGGGGGGATCCCTTCTGCTCCCAGGGAGCCCTGAGAGACCAGAGGCCAAGCTGTAGGGCCAGCTGGGCCTCCACTTCCTGGGTGGCTCTGGGCAAATGGCTAACCCACCTGGCCTCAGTGTCCTCATCTATATAAGGGGGTTGGAGTAGAGCAGGAATGGAAAATAAATACTCCCCCCCACACACACATACACACACATATACACACACACAAGCAACTGTAGTACTGAATGGGCACAGTCTCCCACTGAGTCCAACACAGCCTCAGAATCCTTCTTAATGTAGCTTCCAGGCAGCACCAACAACAACAGGAGCCAGCAGTAAAGGTAGAATCTGTTGCCATCCATAGACCAGATGGTCTGTAAGGCCAAGGCTGCCTCTTACCGTTGTGCAGGTTGTTCACTGCACAATGGTCCCTGGCCACAGGGGCATGTGGGGGCTGAAATGATACTCATGGCCTGGCACAGGGTTATGCCCACCTCACAAGGAAGCTCTACAGGTCTGTGGCACCCAGCCTACAGGTCCTTGCTGTTCAGCCCTGTTGGGTGCTGCCCTGCCAGTGGGTCACGCCTGGCTGTGCCTGGTCATCTTTTGAAGGTCATCTCCGTGGACACTAAGGCCAGCAGCAGGTAGTCCTGACTCTTCAAATAAAACAACTATCCCCTCCTCTAGGCCACAGGCCCCAGCAATGGGTGAGGATGAGGATGGGGCTAGGGGTTCCAAGGCCCCGCCCGCCTGGGAGGCCCAGTTCTCTAAGTTTCTCTTCTCAAAGGTGCTGCCCTAAAGCTCAGCCTCTGGGCTCCCAGGGCCAGCCTGGGGTGTGCGTGTGACAGAGTTCACCCGGTGCAGCCAGTCTCCCCACCTCACCCCGTCTCTTTCCCCAGGGGTGTGGGGTTAAGCTTCCTCTTCACCGCCCCCCTCATCCTCCTGGTCTTTGCTACCTTCCTGGTGGGCGGCAACGTGCAGACGCTGGTGTGCCGGAGCTGGGAGAGCGGGGAGCTCTACGAGGTGGGGATGTCCCCTGGGCAGCCTGTCCCTGCAGGAACCTGGGCGGGGGGGGAGGGAGTGAGACTGAGCCACTAGAGAGGAGCTGCGAACCCTGGTGCTGTACAGGCCTTGGACAGGACTCCGAGTGGTCTCACTCATACCCTCTGCTCTCCTAACCCTGAGTCTGGGACTGGGAATCCTGGTGCCCCACGTGGGGGTAAGCCGAGATGCTGAAATGGCTTCTCACTGGGGTCAGGCCGGCCACCCTCCTAGGGACATGTGGGAACTGTCCCATGAGGAGGTGGCACCAGGGCAGTTTGAGTTAGAGGCCAGGTCTGAGGAGAGTCACAGGGGTACCTCCCACCCCATCTCTACACTGTCAGGACAGCACCAGGCCTTGGGGAAGCTGCTCTGTACCCCATGGCTCCTTCCTCATCCCTAGTTTGCAGACACCCCTGGAAATCTGCCCCCCTCCATGAATCTGTCCCACCTCCTTGGCCTGAGGAAGAACATCAGCATCCTCCTGGCCTACCAGTGAGTGGGCAGCCTGTGCAGACAGGGTGGCCTTGGGGGGGGGAGCAGAGATGGGTGTCCCATTAGGGTGACATCAGCCACCCCATACCACCCTCCATGTTCCTCCCTCCTATCCAGGCAGTGCAAGGAAGGGGCCGCTCTCTGGAAGGTTCTGCAGCTCAACGACTCCTACGACCTGGACAAGCACCTGGACATCAGCCAGGTAAGAACATTCTGGAAGCCATTAGGTCCTTCTTGGAGAGGTCTGGGAATGATGGAGGTGCTACAGCAGGATGGTTCTGGTCAAGAGTACCTGGAGGCTATGAGCCTCTGCTCCAGGGACAGCTACACAGCTGAGCTGCAAGGAGGTTGACAGTGAGAAGTGGCTGAGGGCTGTGTCCTGCCTGAGGACAAATGATGACCAGCATGCTCCAGTCAGGAAAGGCCAGGTGGACACTCAGTGGAGCTTGCCAGGGCCCTTGCCACAGCCAGGAAGGGGCAGGGGTAGTGGAATCCTACTCCCAGCCTGACCCCAGAACTCTCCCTGTGCCCACTGGGACTTGGTGTATTTATTTGCCTGCTGCAGGTTGCAGGGCAGATTAGAGAATGGAGTTTGGGCCTCAGTGCAGAGAAGGTTCTAATACAAGGAAGGGCTACCTCACAGGAGGGATGTGCTTTAAGAATGTGCTTCTGAAATTCTGCAGAAGCTGCAAAACATCCCTTCCCCTCTCTCCATACTACGTGAGGTGGGAGCCATTTCCAAGCATATCCGAGGAAAATCCACATCCCGTTCTTGCATCCCTCCTGCCACCCAGGGGCCCACCATCTGCTTCTGCTCCATCCCAAGAAACCCTCCCAACTCCTCTTGGGGCCACCACCTTTTTTGCTCCATGGGGTAGTACAGCCAGATGGCCTGGTCCCAACTCCAAGCCTTAAGCTGCACCAGGGACAGTTAATGCCTCCAGCCCCTGCTCCTCCTGCTTCTTCAGCCTGTCAGAAGGCCACTGGACTAGGCAGTGTCCCTATGTCCCTCATGGATGAAGCTGGCCAGGAAGGGCTGCAGCAGGGTCCTGGGCACAGCAGACTTCATGCCTGTCACCTGGAAGTCGTGGCTCTCAGGCAAAGGGGTCCTGGGAGGGGAAGGGCCCGTCTTTCAGAGAAAACTGGATGGATAAGGTCCCAGTTTAAGGTGGGCCAGGCAGTCCTCAGAGGCTATCTGATGACTTTCCAAATGTGACCTTAAGAATACCTGTCCCCAAAGGAGATAGCAACAAACTGGTTGTGCACCGATCAGTAGGGTGTTTTACCAGCCACTAGGATGGCACTGCCACACCTGGCACTGAGGCCTGAAATGCTGCTTGTGAGAGAGTGAGGGTTTTTCTCCCCAGGGGAGGCAGCCAGGTAGGGTAGGGGGAGATAGACTGCATCCTCTAACTTGCTGTGCATCCTCTGGCAAGTGAATGCTCCTCTATGCTCTTAGTTTCTCATCTATGAAACATTGAGGCTGAATTTCATGACCCTAAATCTCTTGCAACAAAGGTAGAAGAATGCCAAGGGTCTTTCCTGGAAATATGATCACATCTGTTCATTCATTCATTCACTCTTTCACACAGTCCACAAACTTGTACCTCACCCACCAGATGAGCCTCCTCTAAATGCTGAAGGTTAGGGCTGAATGGGTAGGCAAGACTGCACTATCAAAGAGCTGGTGGTGATTAGTGAGTGCACAAAGAAGTAAATTGGAGTTGGAGAGAGGACTCTGGGGCCATGACTATGAAGGTGCTAGGAAGACCTGCACACAAGTGTGTGAAAGAGAAGCCAGGAGAGCTGTTTCATACCAGGTGCCCAGGGAGGATCTATGTGACAGCCCAGTAACCAGATAAGCGATGGAGGAAGACTGGGTCTTAGGGTGGGGGTCACTAGGAGCCTGCTAGGAACCTTCCAGGGTGCCGTGTGTCCAGGGTAGGGAGCTCTGGGGACCCCTCATGTGGTGAAATGTCTGTGGGCTTTGGATCAACAACTGGGCATGCCCTTCCCATTCCCCCCCCCCCTCCGCCCCCAGTATACCAAGAAGCTGCAGTGGGACCTGCAGAGCTTCCAAGTGGACATGAAGGACCCGGACCTGCTGAGCCCAGAGGCCCGTAGGGACCTGGAGGCGCTGCAGACAAGTGGGGTGGAGAGCATCCCCTACCTCGACTTCCTTGTTCAGGTCAGCAGAGAGACCCCGGGTGGCCAAGCAGGGTGGGGACAGCACAGAGGGGCCACAGAGGAGCTGGGCATGGGCCTTGCCTTGTCCCGGCACTTGACCTTCGCTCCTGGGACCTCTTCCTGTCAGGAGTGTCCCCAGACCCCAGCCCTGCTGCCCTCTCCCCCAGCCCAACAGTGCGTGTCGCTGTTCGTGGTCCTGAACCCACTGCTGCCCGGAACGCTGGTGGGAAGCACCTCTTCCTCGTATTACACCAGAGGGCGCCTGTCTTTTGGTTGTTTTTTGGGAAAATGTCTGAAGTATTTTGCAGCTCCAGGTCAAATCCGCTGTGACTGATGTGGCACAGCAGACTTAGCTGGAGCAGGGTGTGCTTGGCAAGATTGGGAATTCAGAGGCCTCAGGGGGTGCAGGGTGCAACCCTGCTGACCTCTCCCATCCACCCTCAGATCCAGAAGCCCGTGGTGAAGACAGATGTGGAGCAGCTGGCCCAGGAGCTGGCAGGACTGGCCCAGTCCCAGGTGAGAAGGGACAGAGGCACCAGAGGGCAGGCAGAAGTCAAATGGAGGTGGAGGCGGGAGGGCTGGGGAGCTTGGACTGGGGAGGGTGAGGGCAGAGGCAGGGGACCAGGGCCCCTGCCAGTGAGGCCTAAGGCTCCCAAACCCCAGCTGTGCTTGAGGGTTTTGTCATGTCAGTTCTGATTCAAGCCCTGCCAGTTGGCTGGGCTGCCTCAGGCGAGTCACTAAATGTCTATGGGCCTCTGTTTTGTCATCTGTAAAGTGGCCTCTCCTCTATCTCAGATCAGCTCAAGGGACTGGTCTGATGTCATGTGGCTGGGCAAGCAGTGCCATGTGCACCCTAGGTGTGGAATCTGCACATTGTGATGGATCAGATATGACAGCTGTCCCACAGGGGAGGAGCTGCATTTCACATTTACAAATATCTAGACTTTGGAAAGTTCTCTTTGAGGCATCCCAGAGGGCCCACCGAAGCCCTTCCTCATCATCTTCAGCAGATGCCACCATGGCTCCCTTTGGCTTCTGTGACTGACTAAGGGGCCAGACCTAGAACCCGGGCTTGGGTTGCAGCTTGAGGAAGCTTCAATTTTCTGCCTCTGAGTCTAGCACTGTCCACCTTCCCTCAGTATGTGCAACCAAAAGTCTGGGTCAAGGTTCCCCTGGAAAAATCCACCCTGTTGGGGATGGGGCCCATTCTGAGCTCTGTTTACCTTCAGGGCAATTCTGTGTTGGGGCAACAGCTGCAGGAGGAGTCCAGAGGGCTCAGAAACCTCTTTGAGGAGCAGGTCATCTCCCAGCAGAACCTAGTGGTAAGTTCGGGGGCTCAGTGAGCCTGAGGCTTGGGAGAGAGAACAGAGAAGAAGGAGGGAGGTGCTCCACTCCCTCCCTCTTCATCCCTCCCCCTAACCGGCCTGGATCTCTACTTGTAGGTCAAGCTCAACCTCAGCATCAGGGCCCTGGAGTCCTCCGCTCCAAACCTCCAGGTGGCTGTTGGGATGGGGACAGTGGGGTGGAACAGGTGGGCAGCAGAGGGAGAAAGGAAGTGGGGACCCAGCTGACTATGGACCTCACAGGCTGTGCCCCATTCCACTACCTAGGGAGGGGATGGGAAGGAGACAGGGCTGGGTGGGCAGATCCTTGAGGACCATGGATCTTTGGCACTAGGTGCTGTGAGGCCAGCTTGGTGTATGTCATATGCTGGGTGGATAAGTGGGTGGATGGATGGATTGATGGATGGATGGATGATTGGTGGGTAAATGAGTGGCTGCTTCCCGAGCAGGACACTGAGCCAGGGCTCTTGTCTCCTGCAGCAGGAGACCTCAGCTATCCTAGGCAATGTCACCTACCTAAATGCAGAGCTGCCGCCATTGACCAACCATATCCTGCAGAATGTGAGTGGGCGGGGGGCAGGGGCTGCTGTAGAACCAGGGGGCACGGGACCTCTGCCACAGGCTTCTCCAGCCCTTCCCTCACAGTGAGTCTCTGAAAGCCAGCCTGGCCCAATGGCATCAGGCATGGGGGGCGGGTGCCAGGACCCCTGCCAGCTCTGGTCTTCTCTCTCTCCTGCAGGCAAGTCAGTGTTTTCTGACTCGGGAGATGGGCTACTTCTCCCAGTACGTGGCCTGGGTGAGGGAGGAGGTGAGTAGAGGCGCAGACCCTGTCTGGCCTCAGGGCAGCTATGGATTACCCACCCTGTGGTCACCCTGCTCTGCCCCATTCTGTTCCCTTGGCCCTCGAGGGGTGCCCAGGCCTTCAGGATTGAACCCAAACTCCCATACCTAGCCTCTGTGCCCCATCTCTGCACAGCCCCTCTCCAAGTGTGAGCTGGGTTGGCCATGGCTCTCCTGAATATGCCATCCTTGCTTTGTCCCCACCCCTTTCTGTGGGTTGGCCCCCTGTCCAGTTTGTCCTCTCCTGAGGACCCCACCTGATTGCACCTCTGCAAGCTGACTGGACCGCCCCCCCCCCGCCAGGCTTACAGGGGTCTGGTTTAGCCCTTAGAGTGTCTGAGTGTGTGTGTGTCTGTGTGTCTGCAAAGTGCTTGAGGACATGCACTGTGCACACATACATGTTGCCTCTCCAGTGCATGGGATACACAGTAGGGCCCTAATTCAGGTGGCAAATAGGGGGGCAGGAGCAGACAAGGAGCCCAGGTGCGTTCCCTCTCCCCATGTGCCTGTTCCATGTGTCTCTCTATGAACCTGTCCAAGTGTTCAGTGGGTCCCAGCTGTGTCCCTGTCAACCTCTCGGAATCTGGAGTGCACACCTGTGGTCTGGGTGTCCCCATATGTACCTACCTCCTGTTGGCACCACAGGTGACCCAGCACATTGCCACCTGCCAGCCCTTCTCCAGAGCTCTGGACAATGGCCGTGTGATCCTATGTGACATGATGGCCGACCCCTGGGTGAGTATCCTTGCTCTGATGACAGCTTCCCCACCCCCACACTGAGTCTGGGGTGGAGGCTGTGGGCACAGGGCAGGCTGGGAAGGGGCTGCCATCTGGCCAGGTATGCTGACCTCATGCCCCTTCCAGAATGCCTTCTGGTTCTGCCTGGGCTGGTGCACCTTCTTCCTCATCCCCAGCATCATCTTTGCTGTCAAAACCTCCAAGTACTTCCGCCCAATCCGGAAACGCCTCAGGTGAGGGGCTGCTAGACCAGGGGGACATCAGGAGCCCAGAAAGAATGTGTGCTGCGAAAGCAAGCACAGGAGCCCAGAAAGGAGTCTGTCCTCTCCATACCCTGTCCTGAAACTTCCACAGCAAGGAAGGCTCCTGGCCAAGCCATGGAGAGGCACATTTTCTGGCCTGGAATTATCCCATATGTCTGCTCTGTCTCCTTGCTGCAACACATCTTCCCTGGCACAGCTTCCCGGACTCCTCCCTTGGGTTTGTCCCCAGGCCAGGCTGAGGTCTGTGCTGGGGACTCATCTTCACTCTGTGATGCTCCAGCTCCACCAGCTCTGAGGAGACTCAGCTCTTCCACATCCCCCGGGTTACCTCCCTGAAGCTGTAGGACCAATGGGTGAGTCCCCACCTCCCCCGGGCACAATGCCTCAGGGCTGGGGATTGAAGTGGGGGCGGGGTGGGGGGGGGGCTGAGACCTGGAGTCTCCAGGCCCAGGGGACAAGAAGGATCTGGGTGTGGTCCAGCAGTGGGACTGACAGACCAAGCCCTCCTGACATGTTTCCTTCTTAATTCACAGCAAGGTGAGGTGATCCCTGGGGCTGCCTGTCCCCTCCACTTGGCTGGGACCAGAGGACTTCGGAAGCTTGTCACAGAGACCAAGCTTGGGACTTGGGCTGGACTGTCCCCTAGTCCAGCTGATCCACCTTTGCCCGCTCCCTTTCCACCTTCTTGATCCTAACCCCTTCATTCGTTCACACCTCTGCTGAGCTGCAGGACAACAGTTGCCCTTGGTGCCCTGCCTTTGCCCTCTTTGCTGCTTTGTACCAGGGCAGGGAAGGGCCTGTTCCCTCCCTGCCAGAACCCCTTCTTCAGCCCCTCACTCTGCTTCTCTCTAAGCTCTGTACCCTTTGTCCCCATCTGGGGGACATCTTTCCTTCCTCCTCTCTCCAAGGAACTTCTTCCTTCCTGTCCTCTCTTTTTACCGCACCCCTACTGCTACCTTGCCGCTCCTCCAAGGACCCCTGCCCAACCAGCTCATCAGATGAGCCCACCGGGCAGGCCTGGGCCTGGACCAGGCTGGATTCTGACTGCCTCATGGCCCCAAGGGCCTGGACTTCCTGGCCCCCATTGGGCAGAAGGAGACTGAGGGGTGAGCCTCCCTGCTTTCACCCAAAGTCACAAATAGCAGTGCTGTCCCCAGGTCCTCTCTGGGCATCGTTCCCAGGGAGGGACTGGAACCTGGGCTACACTGGGGTGGCACCCTGGGCTCTCCAGAAGGCAGGAACTCCTCACTTCCCTAAGCTTTGTTTAGAGAACAAAAGAGCCCTTGAAGCTAGGGCTCTGTACATAGTTGGTGTTTAGTACATGATGGTGCAGGTGTCCAGGGGCTCCTCCAGTCACCTGCAGATGGGAGCAGCACCAATCTGGGAGGCTGCTGACAGGAGCAGACTGGGTTCGCAGCCTACCTCTGATTCTGCTAGCTGGACACCTTGAACCTGTTACCCAGGTCTCCTAAACCCAGCCTCTCCTTTTATAAGAGAATAATCAGAACCTCAATGTCGGGCCGTGAAAATTAAATATAACAAGTGAGAAGCCTTTGGCAGGGAATAAAGGTACAGTAACTAAATGGGAGCTGCTATTTTGTGCCATGACTTCACCGGCCAAGGCAGAGCTCGGGTCCACACAGATGCAAGGGAAAGGGGAGATGGCCCTGTTCAAAGGCCTCAGCCTTGAAGATGGTGGCCTGCTGCATATTGAGGGAGTCTCATTGTGTTTCATAAACCAGCAACACATCTGCTGCTGGGAATTAGGATGGTGTGCTCAGTTTGCATCCTCACTATTGCAAGCACATTCTCATACAGGCACCCTGGAAAGTCACACAGGGGCCTCTTTGGTTTTACCCAAAATTTGGTTTGTTTGGTTTTGCTTGTTACTCATCTGTCAGCTTGGGCAGAGAAGGTAGCACCCTGTATACTAAAATGCAGTTGGTGAAGTGAAAACAAATTAAATAGAAATAATTTTAAAATATATTCAGTTCTCTCTCTGAATTGCCTCTTATTTTTTTATATATATTTGAGCATATTAAGCATAGTATTTTATCTTATTTTACTATTTTATTGTGGTGTCGGGGACTGGACCCAGGCCTCCATGCACACTAGGCAAGTGCTGTACCACAGACTTACATATCCTGCAGCATAGTTACTTTAAAGTTCAGTAATTCCCTTTGAGCCCTGTGAGTCTGTATCTAGCAGCACTTGTTCCTATGGTTTTTGTGAGTTTTGTCTTTGTCTCCTCACATCCTTGGAGGTTTTGATTACATTTGGGAAATAATTCCATCTGAAAACTTATAGGAACAATCTGAGGGAAGGAAGTTATTTTCCTCCACAAGGATTATGTTTACATCTTGCAGGTGTCATGGGACCTAGCAGTCAGGATCAATTTAACACACTTGCAGGGAATGAGCTGACTTAAGAGCCTTTGAGGGCTGATCTACTTCCAGTCCATTTGCAGTCCCAGGGTGAGGTCCCCTGGGACCCAACCCAAAACATGGCAGGTTTGCCAGGCACACCTTCCCCTTGGTGGTCCTGGGTATTAGTCCCAGAGGTTGTTAAAAGCCCTGCTCAGCTTCGTTGCAGTATCTTCTAGGGTCAGCAGAACCCCCTGAGGAGAAAGTCACCCTAGATGCCAGACACATGTCCCTGGATGGCCTTCTTTTCCCAGATCTTGGCTCTGTGGGGTTTATTTATTGGTTTGTTTGCTGCCTGATACCACACACACACACATACACACACATGTGTGTGTGTGTATTATATATATGATTATTACCTTAAAAAGCTGCTCAAAATGTGTTCTTATGTGTGCATGCACACATACATATTCATTCTGAGCAGCTTTTACAGTTGTGTTCAGCTGGGAATTTGATCCAAATTACCTAGTCCACCATTATCAAAAGTAGTAGTCATAAAAACTGACTTTACTGTCCCTCCTGTGAATTGGGAAGTGGTTGCCGCTCTGAGTTTAGTATCCAGAAACTGGCACAGCACACTGAATGCTGGCTCTGCCAAGGGGCTTCATTGGGAGGGCACTGCTGGTCATCCCATGCTGGAGGTGGCACTCGGCAGAGACAGAAATAGACATAGAGAAAACTAGATCGCCTGTTTCCTGGGGTTTGGAATATTGGGCTCCTGCAATACTAATGCTACTTCACATGGGAAACAGCCCCTTTGTGGTTGCAGTCTTAACTGTCACCCCAACAGTCTCTGAAGGAGGTGGTTTATCATCTATGGTGGAACTGATGAAGCTACCAGAAGCTTCCTGGCATGCTCAAGGTCACCTAAGTTGGATTCAGGTCCTGGGTGCTGGCCCTGGAGGTTTCCTCCTGGATGAGACGCCAATCTCCATTCCCCATGGGTGTGTGGGAGGGGAGACTTGAGCAGATGTCCTTGCTGTCCCTGTGGCAGGAGGGATGACAGATTGGAGGCTCTGGGAGTTCTGCCAGATGCTCCACCTGGCCACCCAGTGCAAGGCCCTGTGGCAGATTCTGCCAAGAAAACACCACCCAGGCTGGGGCTTCTGAAGTCCCAGGTGGGTGGGCAGGGAAGCTCTGGCTGGCTGGAGTGTGCACAGGGAGGGCACATGGCAGGGGTGGAACAGCATGAGTTAGCATCGATGTATGAACTATGTCATAAACCGGGAAGTGTGCTCAGCCCTTTGAAGAGTTAGGCATCACTGTCATCTGCCTGAGAAAACTATTGCACAAATCCTGGAGTGGGCTGAGTAGAATGGCAGTACTGACCCCAAGGGGTCCACTGGGGTCAGTGAAAGTCCACACCATACCTGAACTCTGATCCACCCTGACGCTCTGCTTGAGTGACTGTGGACAGTGTCCCTCTTTCCCACTCTCCCAGAGCCTGAATGCCAGGGACTCCCTGGTGGCCAGCGTAGTCTACCCACCGTGTGCCACTGGCATGAAGTCCCTTCTCTATGGTCCCACCCTTCCTTGATGGTCCTGGATACACCATGCCGAAGCACTTTACATCCCTCCATCTTATGATTGCTAGCTGTCACAGTCCTGGGTGAAGGGGCCGAGTTGGAGTGCATGCAGAGAGGTGACCCTACCCCACCTTGGCCTCTGCCTATTGATGATACAGGATGTAGGGACCCTCACACATTTAGAGGAAGAGGATTCAGGCAGGTGAGCTGGGGGTGCCTTCCCCTACTGCCAGCCGGAGGGGAGGGGGCTTTTTTGAGAGCTGCCTTGGATGCCCTGCAGTTTGGAAGATCCTATGGATGGATCCCCTGTGCCCCCTCCCTCCTATAAAGTTTAGAGCACAAGGGAGCCAGCTGCTTTGGTGGCAGAGCTAAGGGAGACCCAAAGGCCAAGATAAGGCCTCCTTTGGGAGTTGGCATGGGATGTCTTGGGGCCAGTTCCAGGAGGCCACTCATTGAGGGTACAGACCTCAGCCAAGAGACCGTGGACCAGTTACTGGGTGTTGGGAGTCCCTTGGTTCCTCCAAGAGCCAGATGAAATACCCCAACCAGGGGACAGGGCAGGGCGGTGGCCCCCAGCAATGGCTAGACTCAGAGGACCCTTGGAGGTGCCCACAGGAGAAGGAGGTAGAGCTTTCAGCCCTACCAAACCAGAGAGCAGATCAACTGGAGGCTAACCCTGTGCCCTGCCCAGCAGCCTGCTCCCTTGTACCAGGACACGCAGGACACGGAGTGGAAGAGGTAACTGTGGGCAGCCTGGAGTGGAGCTGACCGCTGTGTGACACTGGGGGAGAAGTGTCCTGGACTGGGATGTTTCTCTGAGGCTGTGGCAGGGCTGGTGGGCAGGTGGGCTGGGACCTTGATGCTATCAGAAGGTGCCGTGAGAGCTGCCACAGGTGGCTTCAGCTTCACAGCTGTACCAGATCTGCCTCCCTGACCCTTGTGAGATTTACGACACCCAGACGAAGGCTTTGGTGAGCAACAGACATTTTTGGAAGGTCTGTGAGAAGGGAGCTCCATGTGTATGGTGAGGCCCACCTCCACCTGAGGGGCCTACCCATGGGGGAGGCAAGGGCTCTCTCTGTCTCTCTCTGTGTCTCTGTCTCTATCTCTCTCTGAATCTCCATCTGTGTCTGTGTTTGTGTCTGTGTTTCTGTCTGTGTCTCTGTTTCTGTTTCTCCCAACAAAAGAAAGGGTCCCAAGGAAAAGATATAGGGCTGGGGGCACAGAGCTGGGTCTTGGGCCCTGGGGAGGAGGCATTTGAACTAGGGCCTGGAGTGGGGGGTCAGGAGCAGGAATGGAGGAAGGTCCCAAAGACCCCAAGACCCCAAAACTGGGGGCAGCAGAGCCCAGTTTAAAGCCACACCTCCCTATTCCACTCCAGACTCCCAGCCCTCGGTGCTGGCCTTGTGAGGAAAGCCACAGCTGAGACTCATCAGGCTGAAGCAGTCGTGCTTAACCACGCATCCTCCTGCAGCCTCCTTCCTTGACCTTTTTTGGGTTCAACATGCCTCCAAAGAATCTTCCGAAATGCCAAGTCCCTCTTGGGGAAGGCTGGCCAATGCCCAGGCGCCCACAGCACAGCTGCTGCTGAGGCCTGCTACAGAGCCTTGCTTGGGCCTTTCTCCTCCTTGTGTCCCCCAAAGGCCTGGGGCCCTGGTAAGGCCCTAAGAGGTAAGGCCCAGGGAGGAAAGGGGTGGCTGGCTGGCAGGGTACCCACCTGGGCTCAGGGCGAGCTTCCCAAGGCCAGTAGCCTGGTGACCCAGTACGGATGAACAGTCATCATAGACCTGTCCTTAGCAGATAGTTTATTCCAAAGAAAGCCCCTCAGAGGGGTGGCATTTCAGTAAGTGACTGTCCAGAGGGCAGCTGGCCTGGGGTAGGCCTGCTCTGGTCCTGCCTCAGTGGGCTGTGCCCTGAGTCTGGCCAGGCCTGCCCCGCACCGTGTGATCAGCAGGTGTCCCAGCTGATGTGTGAGACCTGGGCATATCCCTGGTCACGTGCATCCCACCCACTGTGCCCACTTTGGTTGGCAGAAACAGCCATGAACAGCTTCATTGCTCTCTTGCCTACGACTTGGGCAGCTCCTTGAACTTTCTGAGTCTCCGAATCATTGTGGAATGAGATAATGACTCTTTTCTCCCAAGGCTACCATGAAGACTCAGAATGCTCCACTTGTCCCTGCTTGCAGAAGCTTTCTCTGAGCCAAGGGAGGCAGGCTCTCCTCCTCTGTGAAAGGTCAATGGGCTCCCAGGGACCTCAGCTCTGATCTGGCAGCTACAGGGGGCTTGCTCTCTCTTCTTTCTGGGTGCAGCTGTGGATGGGGAGTCAGGGTCTGCTGAGCCCCTTGCTCTGTGTAAGCCTCAGGCTGTCCTGACGTCCTGCTCACCGGACACTGGGGCCCCCTCCCTTCTGGGAAGAGCCATCCTTGCCTCAATGGGTCTGAAGTTCCTGGCAGCTTTCTTCCCTCAGGATCTGAAAGCTGGGGGCTGGGGAAGCAATTGAGGAGCTTTGTGCACACTGCAAAGGAGGGGGGCATCTCAGGCTCTGTTTCCATGGGAACCGCTGGCACAGGCTGGCTCCTCAGGGCACCTAAAAGGGACAGTTGGCAGAGGTTTCAGGCACCTGGCTTCAGGG